TGATGACCAGATTCAAATCACTGTCCATTAAAGCTGCTGAATTTGTGCACTTCAACCTGCAGTATATCAAGATTAAAGGGAAAGCATATACATTTATAGTTTTACCTGATTAAATCACGATTTATATCTCTTCATAGTGAAGAACATGAACAGTACAAATGACTCCTAAAATGAAGAACTATGCTTTACTCTAAAAAATGACTATATATTTACATACCATACCAACAGATGTTCAGATTCTCTACCTTAATGAGAAGAAACCTCGATCCATTACTCCAAATATTTTCTTCTAATTCTAAATGCACTTCTATATATCCCTAAAAATGGTTCCTCTTATCATTATTCATAGAATATCAAAAGCAGAAATAAAAAAAATATAATTCCTAAAAATGTGGTTTCCGTGGCATCTTTCCTCTGTAAATTCATATCACATACTTGTTTTTGGGAAGGTAGATAACCATCCAAAATAGATAGAGACAAATGTAATATGAAGGGAGGAAGAAAAAAGAGAAAAACACAAAAAAAAAAAATGGAAGAAATAAAAAAAAAGAAGAAAAAGAAAATATATAATTAAAGAGATGAGGAAGAGAGGAAGAAGTGGAAGCTGAAAAAAGAAGAAAAGGATAAGAACAAAGAAAGAGAGAAAGTGAAAGAAACAAAAGAGGAAGTGAGAAAGGGTTGAGCTTGTCTTCAATTTAAAAAGAATAACAATAATACACTAATGACTAAGATTTAACATAAATGCTTCATAATGAGCCATCTTAACCTCAAAAGTATATTCAAAAATATTTTGACTTCAATATCTTATCCTTAAGCTTCTGAACCAATTACACAGCTGCCATGAAACAATTGTTCCTTAATGCTGCACAAAATGCAGACACATGCACACACGCATGCACAACTATGAAATAACTACATAAAGATTAATTGTTAACCATGTACTGTCTAAATACCACTGGGTAAATAATAAACCAAAACAAATAACCTTTATCCCACATGGCTACAACCTTTGCTATTAATAGGAAATGTATATTCTTAACAAATACTGTATCAAGCTTTCTCATATCATCCAATGGGCCACCTTTTCTCCCCCCATGGGCACTGAGCTCTTCAGAACGGAAGCATGGGCATGTCCCTGCTGACAACTTGAGCATTAACTCCTTTCATGTATTACTGAATAAATCGCTTATAGCACAAACCGGTTCAAGCTTATCAAAGTGATCTATGACAGTATTCTGATCCTTATAGTACAATTTACAGTACTGTAACACATGGGCTGGTGCCACAATCGGTTAGTGTGGTAACTATGCAAACTAATGATGACTGATTCAAATCACTGTCCATTAAAGCTGCTGAATTTGTGCACTTCAACTGCAGTATATCAGATTAAGGAAAGCATATACATTTATAGTTTTACCTGATTAAATCACATTTATATCTCTTCATAGTGAAGAACTGACAGTACAAATGACTCCTAAAATGAAGAACTATGCTTTACTCTGAAAAATACTAATATATTACATACCATACAGATGTTCAGATTCCTCTATTAAAATGACCTCAAATATTTTCTTCTAATCTAAATGCACTTGTATATATCCCTAAAAATGGTTCTCTAATCATTATTCATAGAATATCAAAGCAGAATAAATAAAATATAATTCCTAAAAATGTGGTTTCCGTGGCATCTTTCATCTGTAAATTCATATCACATACTTGTTTTTGGGAAGGTAGATAACCATCCAAAATAGATAGAGACAAATGTAATATGAAGGGAGGAAGAAAAAAAAGAGGCAAAACAAGAAAAAAAGAAAAATGGAAGAAATAAAAAAAAAGAAGAAAAAGAAAATATATAATTAAAGAGATGAGGAAGAGAGGAAGAAGTGGAAGCTGAAAAAAGAAGAAAAGGATAAGAACAAAGAAAGAGAGAAAGTGAAAGAAACAAAAGAGGAAGTGAGAGGGTTGAGCTTATTAGTGAAGACATGAACAGTACAAATGACTCCTAAAATGAAGAACTATGCTTTACTCTAAAAAATGACTATATATTTACATACCATACCAACAGATGTTCAGATTCTCTACCTTAATGAGTAGAAAACTCGATCCATTACTCCAAATATTTTCTTCTAATTCTAAATGCACTTGTATATATCCCTAAAAATGGTTCCTCTTATCATTATTCATAGAATATCAAAAGCAGAAATAAATAAAATATAATTCCTAAAAATGTGGTTTCCGTGGCATCTTTCATCTGTAAATTCATATCACATACTTGTTTTTGGGAAGGTAGATAACATTCCAAAATAGATACAAGTAATAAAGGAGGAGAAAAAAAGAAAATGAAAAAGAGAAGAAAATATATAATTAAGAATAGAAGAGGAAGAGAAAAGAAGGGAGATGGAAGAAAGAGAGGAATGAAGAAACAAAGAGAACCAGTTTTAAAAAGAATAACAATAATACACTAATGACTAAGAAATTATAAATGCTTCATAATGAGCCATCTTAACCTCAAAAATATATTCAAAAATATTTTGACTTCAATATCTTATCCTTAAGCTTCTGAACAAACACAGCTGCAAAACAATTGTTCCTTAATGCTGCACAAAATGCAGACACATGCACACATGCATGCACAACTATGAAATTAACTACATAAAGATTAATTGTTAACCATGTACTGTCTAAATACCACTGGGTAAATAAATAAACCAAAACAAATAACCTTTATCCACCATGGCTACAATCCTTTGCTATTAATAGGAAATGTATATTCTTAACAAATACTGTATCCAAGCTTTCTCATATCATCCAATGGGCCACCTTTTCTCCCATGGGCACTGAGCTCTTCAGAACGAAAGCATGGGCATGTCCCTGCTGACACACTTGAGCATTAACTCCTTTCATGTATTACTGATATGAACATCACTTATATTAGCACAAACCCGGTTCAAGCTTATCAAAGTGATCTATGACAGTATTCTGATCCTATAGTACAAGTTTACAGTACTGTAACACATGGGCTGGTGCCACAACTGGTTAGGTGGTAACTATGTAAACTAATGATGACCAGATTCAAATCACTGTCCATTAAAGCTGCTGAATTTGTGCACTTCAACCTGCAGTATATCAAGATTAAAGGGAAAGCATATACATTTATAGTTTTACCTGATTAAATCACAATTTATATCTCTTCATAGTGAAGAACATGAACAGTACAAATGACTCCTAAAATGAAGAACTATGCTTTACTCTAAAAAAATGACTATATATTTACATACTATACCAACAGATGTTCAGATTCTCTACCTAAATGAGCCTTAATCAGTATTTACTTCCAATCCTAAATGCACTTGTATATATCCCTAAAAATGGTTCCTCTTATCATTATTCATAGAATATCAAAAGCAGAAATTAAAAAAATATAATTCCAAAAAATGTGGTTTCCGTGGCATCTTTCCTCTGTAAATTCATATCACATACTTGTTTTTGGGAAGGTAGATAACCATCCAAAATAGATAGAGACAAATATAATATGAAGGGAGGAAGAAAAAAGAGGCAAAACAAGAAAAAAAACAAAAAACGGAAGAAATAAAAGAAAAAGAAGAAAAAGAAAATATATAATTAAAAAGATGAGGAAGAGAGGAAGAAGTGGAAGCTGAAAAAAGAAGAAAAGGATAAGAACAAAGAAAGAGAGAAAGTGAAAGAAACAAAAGAGGAAGTGAGAAAGGGTTGAGCTTGTCTTCAATTTAAAAAGAATAACAATAATACACTAATGACTAAGATTTAACATAAATGCTTCATAATGAGCCATCTTAACCTCAAAAATATATTCAAAAATATTTTGACTTCAATATCTTATCCTTAAGCTTCTGAACCAATTACACAGCTGCCATGAAACAATTGTTCCTTAATGCTGCACAAAATGCAGACACATGCACACACGCATGCACAACTATGAAATTAACTACATAAAGATTAATTGTTAACCATGTACTGTCTAAATACCACTGGGTAAATAAATAAACCAAAACAAATAACCTTTATCCACCATGGCTACAATCCTTTGCTATTAATAGGAAATGTATATTCTTAACAAATACTGTATCCAAGCTTTCTCATATCATCCAATGGGCCACCTTTTCTCCCATGGGCACTGAGCTCTTCAGAACGAAAGCATGGGCATGTCCCTGCTGACACACTTGAGCATTAACTCCTTTCATGTATTACTGATATGAACATCACTTATATTAGCACAAACCCGGTTCAAGCTTATCAAAGTGATCTATGACAGTATTCTGATCCTATAGTACAAGTTTACAGTACTGTAACACATGGGCTGGTGCCACAACTGGTTAGGTGGTAACTATGCAAACTAATGATGACCAGATTCAAATCACTGTCCATTAAAGCTGCTGAATTTGTGCACTTCAACCTGCAGTATATCAAGATTAAAGGGAAAGCATATACATTTATAGTTTTACCTGATTAAATCACAATTTATATCTCTTCATAGTGAAGAACATGAACAGTACAAATGACTCCTAAAATGAAGAACTATGCTTTACTCTAAAAAAATGACTATATATTTACATACCATACCAACAGATGTTCAGATTCTCTACCTTAATGAGCCTTAATCAGTATTTACTTCCAATCCTAAATGCACTTGTATATATCCCTATATATGGTTCCTCTTATCATTATTCATAGAATATCAAAAGCAGAAATTAAAAAAATATAATTCCTAAAAATGTGGTTTCCGTGGCATCTTTCCTCTGTAAATTCATATCACATACTTGTTTTTGGGAAGGTAGATAACCATCCAAAATAGATAGAGACAAATGTAATATGAAGGGTGGAAGAAAAAACGAGGCAAAACAAGAAAAAAAGAAAAACGGAAGAAATAAAAGAAAAAGGAGAAGAAAAAGAAAATATATAATTAAAAAGATGAGGAAGAGAGGAAGAAGTGGAAGCTGAAAAAAGAAGAAAAGGATAAGAACAAAGAAAAAGAGAAAGTGAAAGAAACAAAAGAGGAAGTGAGAAAGGGTTGAGCTTGTCTTCAATTTAAAAAGAATAACAATAATACACTAATGACTAAGATTTAACATAAATGCTTCATAATGAGCCATCTTAACCTCAAAAATATATTCAAAAATATTTTGACTTCAATATCTTATCCTTAAGCTTCTGAACCAATTACACAGCTGCCATGAAACAATTGTTCATTAATGCTGCTTAAAATGCAGACACATGCACACATGCATGCACAACTATGAAGTTATGTACCTTAACTACATAAAGATTAATTGTTAACCTTGTAGTCTTAATACCACTGGGTAAATAAATAAACCAACACAAATAACCTTTTCCACCATGGCTACAATCCTTTGCTATTAATAGGAAATGTATATTCTTAACAAATACTGTATCCAAGCTTTCTCATGATATCATCCAATGGGCCACCTTTTCTCCCATGGGCACTGAGCTCTCCAGAACGAAAGCATGTGCATATCCATGCTGACACACTTGAGCATTAACTCCTTTCACCTTTACTATTAGATCCCGGTAATAGGACATAGGGCACCAGCCATCATTTGTTCCGTAATAGAGCAATAACTCGTCCTTGTGTTTCTCAAGTGCTTTTACATTGGGCATACAAACCTCATTTAACTCGTTATAAGCCATCCAAAGGACATTCTGTATAATCTTGGGATTCATGAGCTCAATTGAGGCCTTAATTACATGTTCATGGGCTTTTCTTCCAAAATATAGATTAAGCAA